TTTAAGTGGAAAATTCTTTATTATGTTTGTTTCACCACAATTAAAATTCTTTCTTTTTTTCAACTGTTTAAGTTTTGAAAAAAATAAAAAGAAGAAGGAGATTCTGTTCTCAAGATCAGAAGATAGAGAAATAGCAAGTAACCTTGCTTTATTAAGAAATTGCAGAATAATATTGAATGTGATAGGGTAGAGGGAGAAAAACACTTTTTGGCTGAGACAGCAGTTAAATTATGAATTATATTGTAACAAAGAACAAGAACATGTGAACTGTTGTATAAGAGAGAGGGAGAAAAAGAGAGAGAAAAGTAGGTAGTGATTAGCATTAAGTCTTTAAGGGGATTCTCCCCATCCAATATAAAAATAATTCAATTTTGTAAGCGAATCTGTATCTGAGCTTCAAATGTATATTGAATTACTGAATTAAGAGCTGTGAAGAGATCAGTCTTGATACTGTTTCTTTTCTTTCCTACGTACCCCTGAATTTGAATTGATTCTAAACTCAGTCTTGAATCTCCAGTTCGGTCACCACATCATCCCGACCTAAGGATCTAATCCACTATCGTGTTTTCAGCAACCCAATTTTTGCTAACCAATCTTTAGAACAATCACTCTCCTGAACTTCAGTTCAATTTTTTAAATTGCTCTTTGGATTGGGATGGCACACCAAATTCAATATTTACTCCTGAGAATCTCCTATTGAAAGCACTCTGCTTCTTCCTGGATGCTGACATCTGCCTTGTAGCAGAACACCAGGATCTTGACTCTGAACATTTTTGTAAGTAAGCTAGTTTAAATCTGCTTAGGAAATTCTTTCATAAACCCACACATCTCTTGCTATGGCCATTTCTAGGCCATTTCCACTACTGGTGGCCGCAAGGAAAAGTTAAGGTCCAAATTCTGTGACTATTTCATGCCTGATTTTCAGTTCCCCATGTATATCTTATAGATTTCAACTTTCTAGTAGCTTTATATTATATTCATTGATTTTCATGTCTGTTTTAGAAGCATAATTCACAAATATATATCCTTGGATACAAAAAGACAAGGGTGTTTGAGCATCTTTCTATGAGATAGTCCCAAATACAAATTTTTGGAAGGCCAAGTACTTTTCCCTAAGTGTCTTCTTTTGGGGGTTACTTTTAGTTTCTTAGGATATTTTTTTATTGAGACTCATTCCATCCTTTTACGGAATAATTAGTCATTAGGAGAAAAACAACTATTTATAATTTTTCTAATTTAAAATATCATATATATTTTTCCTCTTATTTTCCATTTATAATTTTTACTATTTTTTTGTCCTACCTGAGAACTGAACTAATGTAATATGAGAGTATATACTTACATGCTACAAGCTATGTGGTGGATAAGAGATCCCTAGCCAAATTCCTACTCCTTTTCCTTTAATTATCTCTTTTTTTTTTTTTTTTTTTTTGGTATCAGGGATTGAACCCAGATGCACTTCATCACAAGCCATATCCAGGCCTGTTTTATTATTATTATTTGTTATTTTGACACAGGAGTTTTCTAAATTGCTTAGGACCTGTTTAGACAGGTCCTAAGTTGCTGAGGCTGGCTTTGAACTTGCGATCCTCCTGCCTCAGCCTCCTGAGCCACTAATATTATAGGTGTATGCCACACTTGACTCCTTTCCCTTGTATGTGAAGTCATTTGTTTTCCCAGAGAGTGTTAACAGGAAAATTTTCTTTTTTTAGTTAATAGCAGAGAACATGAAACACCATTTAAAAAGTAAATGTTGCTTTCCTTGCATCAAAATTAAAAGTTTGGTTTATTTGTTTCTTTGGAGTGGGGGGTTGGCCTTGGAGCTATTTTGAACTTGAAAGAAGAAATTCCTCATAAACTTTGCTTTTTATCAACCCACATTTCACAAGACTGGAGGTAGTGAAAAGCAACACCATGAGAAGATGGTGAAATCAGATTTTGATCAGCTACACACTTTCACAACTTAACCAGGAATATCTATAAAATTAAATAGCAAAACACATAATTGGTATTCCTAACAATTCACTCACAAGGACAAATTTCTATTGATAAGAAACCTTCTCCCCAAAAAGAAAGTGAAATTGCTCCATAAATTATGAAGAGGCTGTTTCCATGTGCAGCTCTTTAATTGCATCTGACAGGACTGCTGCTCTGAAGCTCTCCTAATGCACTTGCTCCTGAATTAGTAATAGGTTTCCAACCTCAGTGCATTTGCCACTTGAGCCTCTTTCCCTTGGCTTTCAACCTTTTTTGGTACAGCAGACTGAATCCAGAGATGTAACTAGCCTGGCTTCCCTTTTCTTTATTTCTTTATTAAAAAAACATATAATCCAAAAATATAACATTAATTTATAATGATCTCGGTTGAAACTTCTACATGCAGTGCTTCAGTATAAAGGAAACATTTCTATTCTCCCTCCAAATCTGATTCTGAATTTACTTGAATATCAACGAAACTGATAAAGCACATTTCCTGAATCTCTTTATGACAGACTTCCTCCAGTACCTCAGAATTTTTTGCTTTTGAAAAACATTCAAATGAAATTTGAGAGAGAAAATCTGATTCCTTTTATAATTTTGAGGGGGGTGACTCAAAGCAAAGCAGGCTTTTTAGAAACGGATAATCGGAAAATCGAATATGGTTATTAGGTTGTTCTCAGCTGTCCCTGGGATCAGCTACAAAAAGGGCCCCTTAATGCAAAACCATTTAGCTCTACACTCTTATCATCTCTAGGCTAGAGGGAGGAAGGCTCACCACCCAGCAACCCTCTGGCCACCTGCTAACCCAGCCCCATTTTATCTGCTGAGTACCACGGATGGCAGAAGAAGAGAGCTGCCTAAGGCAGAGCAGAGAGGGTGCTGTAGAACTCTACCCAGAGAATCTTCAGATCCCACTTGATGATCACACTTACTAGGGGTGGCTGCTCATAAGAATCAGATGCAGAATGAAAACTTCTGGATGCTTTCACTCCACCCTCAAAGATTCTGACTCAGGAGAGGAAATGCAGCTCAAGCCTCAGCACTACTTAGTTTCCTAGAGGACACAATATCCAGCCAGGAGAGTATATCTCTAGGCTGAAGAGTAACCCACTATCACCTCTTTGTTTACTTCTACAAACTATAGGGTTAATCTTCAAACTTGATAAATCCTCTGCTGTTTCTAGGGGTTTCTGTTTCAATCCATGGTGTTATGGTTTAGATATGAGGTGTCTCCCAAAAGCTCATGTGTGACAAAATTTAAGAAAGTTTGTATAAAACAATTGTTATGAGAACCTTATTCCAATCAGTGAAATAATCCCCCTTAGAGGGATCAACTTGGTAACTGTGGGCAGGTAGGGTGTGGCTTGAGGTGGTGGGTACCTAGGGGCATGCCTTTGGGATTTATATTTTGTCCTTGTTAATCAGAGCTTTATCTCTGCTTCCTGGTCATCAGTTCCCTCAACCACACTCTCCACCATGATGTTCTGACTCACCTCAAGTTCTGGGAAAGGGAGCCAGCATTCTATGGACTGAGAGCTCTAACAATGTGAGCCCCCAAGTAAACTTTCTTCCTCTAATTGTTCTTGTCAAGTCTTTTAGTCACAACAGTGAAAAAATTGACTAAAACATAGGGCATAATTGAAACCAGTCTTGAAAATCAGTATCAAGATCCATTCTCCCAGTGTTGAACATTGAACAACACCCAGGCAAGAGCAAAAAAGAAAAAAAAAATATTTACAGGATAGAAGAGGTGGCAGGGAGGGGGACAGAGGGAGTCCTGAGGAGAGGAGGGGTTACATACCAGAGCTGGTGCCCAAAAGTGGGGGTGTCTTTCCCCTTTTATAGATTTCAGGTTTCCTTTCTTTTCACATCCCCCTCTTACTCTTACCTTGCTTTCATGACCAAAGGTGAGAAAGGAGCCTTTCAGGGGTACTTCTCCCTTTTTTCCATCTCTACCCAGAAAGGCAGGAAGGGAGCTGCCTAGGGGGGCATTCATTAACTACTCCTTGCTGGGAGGAAGAATTCCCTGGATGCAGGTGACCTTGGCAACAAGTAGGAGGAGGGGGAAGTGCTCTGGAGGTATTAGCATTTTATTACCTTTTGAATCAGCAGGGGTCTTCCTGACTCAATTACTCATCATCTACACTGTCTTTTTGCCCTGTTGTCAATCCCTCTCTAATTAAGAGAATTCTTGCTGCTGTAAAGGGATGTGGGCTATGATTGCTCTGGCTGATTCTGGCTGAAAGGGGGAGACTTGGGGCAAGGAGTTTGGGTTTCCCTTTTACAAGTGTTCTGGGTCAGTTGAGGGGACTGTGGTAACAGTCCCAGAGCTGCAGAGATGCCAGGGCTGCAAGATGCACAAAACCTCCTGTCCTATCATGAGCTTTTACTACTTTTTGTGTGCACTTGATTATACAAAAAAAATAAAAATGTCAACAGAAACCAAGGGTAATTCCACATGGGTGCAGTGCTTTCATGTAAGTAGCATCCCTGAGATTTCACACTTCTGCTCCCCAAATCCATGTGGTCACTGTCTGTGACCTTTAGCAGTGACCAGAAGGTGGGAAGGATGGCTGGCATGTGGTGAGACACCCAGCCACTGCTGTAGGCAGGCTTGCCCCTATGCACTGCCAAGCTCTTGCTTTCCTGTACATGGGATTATGGAGATGAAGCCATAGAACACTCTACAGTTTCTAATGCCTTGCCATGGGTGTCTTCAACAGCTGCAACCCACCTGAAGGTCTGAAGATCACAAAAAGGATATTCTCTAGCCAAAATGACTAGCTCAAAGTCAATCAAGTCTACACAAGCTCAAGGGGAGCAAGTCCCCACCTACATTGGCTCAAGAAAAGTGAGTCTATCAACACTGGCTCAAGGTGAGCAAATATCCACACTGGTTGGGAGAGGGAGGCATAGTGGTCCATGCCTTGAGTGCTGGACTCTGGCCTTGCCCTAAATCTTCCTAAATTTTCCTTCTTAAAACACACACACACACACACACACACACACACACACACACACACACTTGCTTTTTTTCAATCTTTGAAACATTTTTATTGTACTATTTGTGAAAAAAATAATAAATTTCTTATTTGAAAGTGACCAGAAACAGCAGGACAGTGGAGAAACAGCAGGACAAATAGCAGGACAGGGGGATGTGACCCAAGGCAAAGTCTCTATGAGGTGTCTTCGCAGGTGGGGGCAGAGGAGACTCCTGGTGGACCCAGATGCGCTCCTGCCTGGAAACCTGTTGGCACACCTCGGTCTTCGGGCTGTTCATTGGTTCTGTTGGTCTTGGCTGGGGATTTACACTGGAACCACTGTGCTCCTGAACAATGACCGACTGAAGCACGGGATGAAACACAGCTGTCGAAGGCAGGAGACAATACTCTTCCTCACCCTCCTCCAACCCCTGATGCAGTGGTGGGTTGGCTCTGTGGAGGAAGCTTGGGAGGAGGAGCTGCGGTCCTCTGTGATCTCCCTACTGAGGCTGGAGGGGTCGGTTGTGCTGGGCACAGGGTGGTGCTGGGAGGCTAGGCTGGGAGGGGGTGTGTCCACGTGGAAAAAGCGGAGACGAATGCCAGGCACGCTGGCACTGCCACCACCCTTCTGCAGAGACGGTTTGGCCTCCTCTGGCTGCTGCTGCTGCTCACAGGGCAAGTGAAGGGCAGGCTCACTGGAACACTTCCTGGGGTCGACCCTAGGAGGATCTGCAGGGCCTGAGCGAGGCCCTACCACCCGACGCTGCAGGGGCTTCTCCTGGCATGTGCAACCCACCCCCTGGGTTCTCTGGCACTTGAGCAGGAGGTAGGTAGCCATGGCATCATCGTATTTCTTATGTGACAGGGACACCCAGATGTTATAGGGGTCGTAACCCATGTCGAACATGGTTGTTATAATGGCAGGATCAGGGTGGATGGGGAGAGCCTCGCCAGAAGGACAGGGTGAATCTTCCTTGCCCTGGCTCAGCCATGGGTGGCTCATTATCTGTTTTAGGCTGGGCCTCTGCCTGGGGTGCACCTTCAGAATCGCAAGGATGAGGCTCTGAGCTCCCTTGGAAACATGTTCAGGAATGCCATAGGCTCCCTCCATGATCAGCCTCCTCACCCGCCCAACACTGTTTGCTATAAATGGGCGGCTCCCTGTCAGCATGAAATAGAGAACCACCCCCAGGCTCCAGATGTCCGCCAGGGGGCCCTCGTATTCCTCCCTCCGGACAACTTCTGGGGCAAAGTATTGGAGAGTGCCCCAGAACCGGCTCAGCTTCCTCCCGGCTATGAATCTGGTGCTCAGGCCGAAGTCAATGAGTTTCACCGTACCACTGGCATCCAGCACGAAGTTCTCGGGCTTGAGGTCCAGGTGTGCGATGCCCTTGTCATGGCAGTACTGCACAGCGCGCACCATCTGCCTGAAGAGTCTGCGGGCCTGCTCCTCAGGCATGCCACCAGGCTCCGAGATGAGGCTCCGTAGATGTCCCCCACCTGCATGCTCCATGATAATGTACACGTATTTGAGGGTCTCAATGACCTGGAAGAGTCGGATCACGTTTGGGTGATCCAAGCCCGCCATCATACGGGGTTCAGATAGGAAGGGGAGGTTCCAGCCTACTTTTGGCACAACCTTCACCACAACCTCTGTCCCCGTGAGGCGATGGCAGGCAAGTTTCACCTTGGCGAAGCCCCCTTCTCCAATGTCCCGCAGAAGTTCATAATGGTCGGTGATGGCAGGCTCATAGGAGCCCCGCCCTCGTCTCTCTACACTGTTCTCACTACTCTCACTGCGAATCCTACAACGGAACACCATCTTAGGATGCTAGCTTAAAAAAATATAATAAACCAAAACAAATAACCAAAATAAAAAAGCCCCAAAAATGAAAGCAAAGAAACAAAAGGAAAAAAAATCAAATCAAAAAACCCAGAAGACCACAACCACCAACCACCAATCACCAACCACCAGCCACCAACCACCAACCACCAACCACCACAAAACGCGCTAACTATCTGGGAGTCCGACAGGTCACCACCAAGAGCTTCCTGTACATATGGACAAAAACCCAGTGGTGGCCACTCTCTTATATACCTGCTCTTTGAAATTCCCTCACAATGGCCATGCTGAACCAAGCCCACCCTTTTTACCTTATAAGGACAAAAGTCAAGCTGAACCAGGGCCTGCCCTTATCCCCTTATAAGGACAAAACACCACCCTGAACCAAGGGCCCTGCCCTCATTTCCTTATAAGGGAACAAGCCAAGCTGAACCAAGGGCCCCACCCTGATCTCATCATAAGGACACAAACCACACTGAACCAAGGGCCAGCAGAAACATCAAAGTCCTGCACATGTCAAAACTTCTCTGGTATAAGCACTTCTCCTAGCTTATGAACTATCTTAAGTGAGAACAGGGGTGGATCTTATTTTAGATGCCCAGAGCCCAGTATAGAATTTAACCCCTTGGAGATTTCCCTTAATGTTGATTCGTTGGGTTTTTGTTTTGGCCGACTGGGTGGACTAATAGACAGATGTGCAGATAAAGAGGTAGATGGAGGGATGGATGGATAGATGGAAGGAAGGAAGCATGAATAGTTAGATGTATGATTATGTGAGGATGACCTTAGGCCTGAGCCTAAGCAACTCCATTTTTAAAACTCTATTTTGAAACCTGCAGTCTCACCAGGCACATTCAATATATCCAGTATGGCCTCAAACAAGTTACTTTCCCTCACCCTGATAAACATAGTGAAGCCTCTGGCAGGTTGTCCTCCCCTGATCAGATGAGAAAGGCAAAAAGATCAGGGTGGAGATCACCAGACCAGATGTTTCTGACCCGAGGATAAATGATATCATGAAGAAATCCGGTGGTAGCTGATAAGGACTGAAAGGGGGGTCAAAAGCCCCCAAATTCACTATAAATAGTAGAGTTGATGAACAGAGATTCAGCCAGCCGAAATAAGGATGCACTTGAGCTGGAGAGCCTGATGAGGACCTGGACTGACATCCCATCAGTTGTCATTATTCTCATCCTCTGCAGGATCCTCATTGCTCTCAAACTCTACCACCTCGTCTGGATCTTGATGAGAGCTGCAACTTCTCCCTACGACCCTCTCCTCAACCAGTTGTCCACTCCACGCCAGGAAAAACCTGCCTTGGTTCTGGACCTGTTCACTGTGATCTGAGTGAGTGTGCGTCTGTTGGACTTAAAGCCTAAGGTTTAAGACTTTTTTATTATTATGTAAATTATTTTTATTTATATATGACAGCAAATGCATTACAATTCTTATTACATATATAGAGCACAATTTTTTTATATCTTTGATTGTATACATAGTATATTTACTCACACCAATTCGTGTCTTCAAACATGTATTTTGGATAGTAATGATCATCACATTCTAACATCATTAATTATACCATGCTCCCTCCCTCCCGCTCCAACCTCTCTGCTCTATCTAGAGTTTGTCTATTCCTCCCATGCTCCCGCTCCCTATTCCACTATGAATCAGCCTCCTTATATCAAAGAAAACATTTGGCATTTGGTTTTTTGGGCTTGGCTAACTTCACTTAGCATTATCTTCTCTAACTCCACACACATTTACCTGAAAATGCCATGATTTTATTCTCTTTTATTGCTGAATAATATTCCATTGTGGATATATACCACATTTTTTTTATCTATTCATCTATTGAAGGGCATCTAGGTTGGTTCTACAGTTTAGCTATTGTGAATTGTGCTGCTATAAACATTGATGTGTCCCTGTAGTATGCTATTTTTAAGTCCTTTGGGTATAGACCAATGAGAAGGATAGTTGGGTTGAATGGTGGTTCCATTCTAAGTTTTCCAAGAAATCTCCATACTTCTTTCCATATTGGCTGCACCAATTTGCAGTCCCACCAGCAATGTATGAGTGTACCTTTTCCCCCACATCCTCATCAACACTATAGTTGTTTGTGTTCATAATAGCTGCCATTCTGACTGCAATGAGATGAAATCTTAGAGTGGTTTTGATTTGCATTTCTCTAATTGCTAGTGATGTTGAACATTTTTTCATATATTTGTTGATTGATTGTACATCTCCTGAGAAGTGCCTCTTCAGGTCCTTGGCCCATTTATTAATTGGGTTATTTATTTATTTATTTGGTGTTTAGCTATTTGAGATCTTTTTATACCCTAGTGATTAGTGCTGTATCTGATGTGTGAGGGGTAAAGATTTGCTCCCAAGATGTAGGCTGTCTATTCACCTCACAGATTGTTTCTTTTGCTGAGAAGAAACTTTTTAGTTTGAATCCATCCCATTTATTGATTCTTGATTTTAATTCTTGTGCCACAGGAGTCTTATTAAGAAAGTTGGGGCCTAATCCCACATGATCGAGATTAGGGCCTACTTTTTATTCTATTAGATGAAGGGTCTCTGGTTGTATTCCTAAATCCTTGATCCATTTTGAGTTGAGTTTTGTTCATTGTGAGAGTTAGGGGTTTAATTTTATTTTGTTTCAGTTGGATTTCCAGTTTTCCCAGCACCATTTGTTGAAGAGACTATCTTTTCTCCAATGCATGTTTTTGGCAACTTTGTCTAATATAAGATAATTGTAGTTTTGTGGGTTAGTCTCTGTGTCCTCTATTCTGTACCATTGGTCTACCAGTCTGTTTTGGTGCTGTTTTTGTTACTGTTTTGTTACTGCTGTTTTTGTTACTATTTCTCTGTAGTATAGTTTAAGGTCTGGTATAGTGATGCCACCTGCTTCACTCTTCCTGCTAAGGATTGCTTTAGCTATTCTGGGTCTCTTATTTTTACAGATAAATTTCATGATTGCTTTTTCTATATCTATGAGGGAGGTCATTGGAATTTTGATCAGAATTGCATTAAATCCATATAGTGCTTTTGGAAGTATGGTCATTTTGATAATATTAATTTGTCTATCCAAGAACAAGGAACAAGGTATATCTTTCCATCTTCTAAAGTCTTCTTTGATTTCTTTTCTTTAGGGTTCTGTAATTTTCATTGTATAGATCTTTCACCTCTTTTGTTAAGTTGATTTCTCAGTGTTTTTTTTTTTTTTTTTTTTTTTGAGGCTATTGAAAATGGGGTAGTTTTCCTCATTTTCCTTTCTGAGGATTTATCCCAGAAAGGCCTTTGATTTATGGATGTTGATTTTATATCCTGTAACTTTGCTGAATTCATTTACTAGTTCTAGAAGAACTTTTAGGGTCTTCTAGGTGTAGAGTCATATCATCAGCAAATTGTGCCAATTTAAGTACTTCTTTTCCTATGTGTACCCCTTTAATTTCTTTTTTCTAGTTGCTATGGCCAGTGTTTCAAGAACTGTGTTAAATAGAAGTGGGGAAAGCAATCATCCCTGTCTTGTTCCAGTTTTTAGAGGGCATGTCTTCAATTTTTCTCCATTTAGAATGATGTTGGCCTGGAGCTTAGCATAGATAGCCTTTATGATATTAAGATATGTTCCTGTTATCCCTAGTTTTTCCAGTGTTTTGATCATAAAGGGGGGCTGTATTTTGTCAAATGCTTTTTCTGCATCTATTGAGATGATCATATGATTCTTATATTTGAGTCTATTGATGTGATGAATTACATTTATTGATTTCCATATGTAGGACCAACCTTGCATCCCTGGGATAAATCCTTCTTGATCATGGTGCACAATCTTTTAAATATGTTTTTGTACTCGATTTGCCAGGATTTTATTGAGAATTTTTGCATCTATGTTTATTAGAGATATTGCCCTGAAGTTTTCTTCCTTTGATATGTCTTTGCCTGGTTTTGGAATCAGTGTGATATAGGCCTCATAAAATGAGTTTGGAAGTGCTGCCTCTTTTTCTATTTCCTGAAATAAATTGGAGAGTATTGGTATTAATTCTTTTTTAAAGGTCTTGTAGAACTCAGCTGTGTGTCCATCTAGTCCTGGGCTTTTCATAGTTGGTAGATTTTGATGGCATCTGCTATTTCATCAATTGAAATTGATTTGTTTAAATTGTGTATATCATCCTGATTCAATTTGGGCAAATTATGTTACTCTAGAAATTTGTCGATGCCTTCAATATTTTCTATTTTGTTGGCGTACAGGTTTTCAAAACAATTTCTAATTATCTTTTTATTTCTGTAGTGTCTGTTGTGATATTTTCTTTTTCATCACATATGTTAGTATTTTGAGTTTTCTCTCTCCTTTTTTTGGTCAGCATGGCTAAGGGTCTGTCAATTTTATTTACTTTTTCAAAGAACCAACTTTTTGTTCTGTCAATTTTTTCAACTGTTTCTTTTGTTTCAATTTCATTGAATTCAGCTCTGATTTTAATTATTTCCTGCCTTCTGCAGCTTTTGGTGTTGATTTGTTCTTCTTTAGCTAGGGCTTTGAGATGTAGTGTAAATCATTTATTTGTTTACTTTTCTTCTTTTAAGGAATGAAGTCCATGCAATGAAATTTTCTCTTAGAACTGCTTTCATAGTGTTCCAGAGATTTCAACATGTTATATATGTATTCTCATTCACCTCTAAAAACTTTTTAGTCTCCTTCTTGATGTCTTCTGTAATCCATTGTTCATTCAGTAGCATATTATTTAGTCTCCAGGTTTTGGAGTGGCTTTTATTTCTTATTTTATCATTGATTTCTAATTTCATTGCATTATGATCTGATAGAATGCAGGGTAGTATCTCTACTTTTTCATATTTGCTAAGAGTTTCTTTGTGGCACAGTATATGGTCTATTTTAGAGAAAGATCCATGCGCTGCTGAGAGGAATGTATATTCTCTCACTGAAAGATGGAATATTCTCTATATGTCAGTTAAGTCTAAGTTATTGATTATATTATTGAATTATATAGTTTCTTTGTTCAGCTTTTGTGTGGAATAACTACCTAGTGATGAAAGAGGTGTGTTAAAGTCACCAAAAATTATTTTGTTGTGGTCTATTTGCCTGTTGAACTTGAGGAGAGTTTGTTTGATGAACATAGATGCTCCATTGTTTGGGGGCATATATATTTATAATTGTTAAGTCTTGTTGGTGTATGGTTCCCTTGAGAAGTATGTAGTGTCCTTCTTTGTCCTTTTTGATTGACTTTAGTTTGAAGTCTACTTTATTTGATATAAGAATGGAAACCCCTGCTTTCTTCTGCAGTCCATGTTAGTGATTTGATTTTTCTCAACCCTTTATCTTCAGTCTGTGAATGTCTTTTTCTATAAGATGAGTCTCTTGGAGGCAGCATATTATTGGTTCCTTTTTATTAATCCAATCTGCTAGTCTATGTCTTTTGCTTAGTTTTCTTAGGCCACTAACATTCAGGGTTATTATTGAGACATGATTTATTTTCCCAGCCATTTTTGCTTATTTTCTGTATTTATAATATGATTTGGTTTCTCCTCTGATTAGATTTTCCTTTAATGTAATCCCTCCCTCAGCTGATTTTCATCATTGTTTTTTATTTCATCTTCTTGGAATATTTTGCCGAGGTTATTCTGTAATGCAGGCTTTCTAGTTGTAAATTCTTTTAACTTTTGTTTATCATGGAAGGTTTTTATTTCATCATCAAATCTAAGGCTTAATTTTGCTGGATATAAGATTCTTGGTTGGCATCCATTTTCTTTCAGAGCTTGGCATATGTTGTTCCATGATTTCCTGGCTTTGAGGGTCTGGGTTGAAAAATTTGCTGAGATACAAATTGGTCTCCCCCTATATGTGATCTGATTCCTCTCTCTTTGGCTTTTAAGATTCTATCCTTATTCTGTATGCTAGGCATATTCATTATAATGTGCCTTGGTGTAGATCTGTTGTAATTTGATACATTTGGTGTCCTATAAGCCTCTTTTATTTGGTTTTCCAATTTATTCTTTATACTTGGGGAATTTTCTGATATTATCTCATAGGAGAGATTGTGCATTCCTTTGGCTTGAAACTCTGTGCCTTCCTCCATCCCAGTAACTCTTAGATTTGGTCTTTTGATGCTGTCCCATAATTCTTGGATGTTCTGTTCATGGTTTTTAACTTTCTTCACTGTGTGATCAACTTTATTTTCCAGATTGTATACTTTGTCTTTATTATCTGACATTCTTTCTTCCAAGTGATCTAGTCTTTTGGTTATGATTTCTATTGAGTTTTTTATTTGATTCATTGTATTCTTCATTTCAAGGATTTATTATTTTCCCCCCAGGGGTCTATCTCCCTTTTG